CAATGGAGGAGAGAACAATTCATTTTAACCTGACCCCCCCCAGTTAGTTCATCATTACCCTTCCTTTCTTGGTACTGAACTTCAAGAGTGTAAGTGCCAAATTGTTTNCAATGGAGGAGAGAACAATTCATTTTAACCTGACCCCCCCCAGTTAGTTCATCATTACCCTCCCTTTCTTGGTACTGAACTTCAAGAGTGTAAGTGCCAAATTGTTTAAAATGAGAGGCAAAATGAGAGGGTCCTCAAGGAAAAGGGAAAGAATGACTGTTTAGAGATAGACATATTACTTACGTTCAGGTTCTCCAGGTTGTTGGCTTGGGGCTTCTGTGCATAGAGAAAATAAAATCCCTGCAATCCCCCTCTGATCAGCCACTTGATTCCCCCTCAGTCTATGGGCCCGGGGCCGCGCTCTAGACTTCCGGCTGAGATCTAGCTCCTCTCTCACCGCAGTCACAGACTTTTCCCACTGATCTTCCAAGTTGTCTTTGGTGTTCATGGGTTGAGAAGTCTGGAAACTGCCACAGCTGCCTGCAATTCAGCCCTCTGAGGCCTGCTCCAAGGTCACTGTGGCCTGCAAGTGCACGCGACACTGCGCTCGTCTCCCAGCCCTGTGCGATAAACCTTTCCAATCAACCATCCAGGTTGTGTTGGGCTGGAAATTTGTTTCACTCTGTCTTTTTGTGGGTTCTGCTGCTTTAGAATTTGTTTAGAGTCATTTTTTATAGGTATTTGGAGGGGTTTGGGGGGAAATCTCAAGCAAGTCACTGCTTTCCCTCTGCCGTCGTGGCTCCACCTCACGCTTTTAAAGTTTTAGTAAGTAGTTTGCTACATTCCTTCATTTTTTGAAGTACGTTGCAACAAAACAAAATATTTTATCTAAAAAATAAAAGCAGAGGTAATGACAGGACTTCCAGGAGCCAAGATGTAAGTAAGCAGTAGATCACAGCAATTCTCCTACATTCACCTCCAAAAACCATAAAGTACAGCCAGCGGAAAGATGGAGTAATCTTTTAGCCCCAGAGACTTAGAAGATTGGCAAAAAAAAAAAAATAGGTCTGTTTCACTAGAAAGGGGAGCGCATTCCAGGACAGGAAGAATCCCAGAAAGCCTGGAGCAAGTTGTACCTCCGCAAAACAGTGGGAGATCCTGAGCTCCAGTGTGGTGGAGCAGGCAAATGCCAAAACTGGGACTTCCTCCCCCATATGCCTTAGCATAGCCAGGGGAACCTGCAGACTCCAGCTCTGAGAATCACCACATGCTTCAGTGTAGCTCAGGAAAAACAGGCATTCTCCAGGGACTAGACCTCAATGTACTTCAGGGTAGCCCCAGAGAAACACAGAAAAACCCCACGTGGCCTCAGCACATGCCAGACACCACCACAAGGACACCTCAACACCTCAGCACCTGATCCCTACAGCCTCCAGCAGTGCCAGTCATCCCCCCCACCCACACTCTTAACAGAGAACCAGACATGAGGGTTGAGCCTCAGGCAACATCAGTGCAGCACCAGGTAAACAGCCAGGATCTCAGGCACAAGATGCCTGAGACAGAGCCTCTTCCCCCATAGGAGCAGAGATAAAGTTTAACACAGAGGGAAAAGGCCAAAAAAAAAAAAAGAGCAAAAAAGAGTAGAATAACAATCTGACCATAGAAAGTTATTATGGTGGCAGAGAAGACCGAGAGACAAAGAAGAAGGCAACAATGTTCAAATACCTTTGGGCAAAACCACAAAAAATGTGAGAAGTGGTCTCAAGTCCAGAAAGAACTCATGGAAGAACTCAAAAAAGAGCTTAAAAATCACATAAGGGAGGTGGAATAAAAATTGTGAAAAGAAATGAGAGTGATGCAAGAGAATTATGAAAAAAGAGTCAATAGCCTGGAGAACAGCTTAAAAAGTAGAATTAACCAAATGGAAATGGAGATACAAAAATCCACTGGAGAAAATAACTCCTTAAAGAGTACAATTGCCTAAGTGAAAAAGTACAAAACCTAGTTGAGGAAAACAAGACATTAAAAGTTAGAATTGGGAAAATGGAAACTAATGACTCTCTGAGACATCATGAATCAATCAAACAAATTCAAAAGAATAAAAAAAAAAATGGAAGAAAATGTAGGTATCTCATGAGTAAAACAGCTGACCTGGAAAACAGATCCAGGAGAGAAAATATCAGAATCATCAGACTACCTGAAAACCATAATCAAAAGGAGGGCCTGGACAGCATCTTTCAAGAAATTATCAAGGAAAATTGTCTTGATGTCCTGGAATCAGAGGGCAAATGGGCACTGAAAGAATCCATAGATCATCTCAGGAAAGAGATGCCAAAATAAACCCTCAAGGAACATTGCACCCAAATTTCAAAACTGTAATAAAAAGGAAAAAAAAATATTACAAGTAGCCAGAAAAAATAATTTAAATATCGAGGAGGCACAATCAGGATCACAGAGGACTTGGCAGTTGCAACATTAAAGGACTGCAGGTCATAGAATATAATCTGGAGGGCAAAGGAGCTAGGACTACAATCAAGAATCACTTACGTGGTAAAATTAAACTAATACATCAAGGGGGAAAATGGTAATTCAACAAGATAGAAGGATTTCAAGCCTTCATAAGGAGAAGACCAGAACTAAACCAAAATTTTGACCTCCAATATCAAGACCCAAGAGAAGTATAAACAACTAAAAAGGGAAAAGAAAACAAGGGATTCAATAGTGCTAAACTGTTTACATCCCTACATGGTAAGATGATACTTTTAATTTAAAAATTATATCACTAACAGTATAGATAAAATGAATATACATAGACAGAGAATATGGATAAAAGGTGAACTAGAGGGAATGATATAAAAATTAAGGGATGAGAAAGAGGAGTACAATGGGTACAGAAGAAAGGGAGAGGTAGAATGGGGTAAAATACATCACATAATGAGGCAAGAAAGACTTATTACAGTGGAAGGGAAAATGAGAGGGTGGGTTATGGGCATTGCTTGAACCTTACTCCTATTAGCATTGGCTCAAAAAGGGAATAATATACACAATCAGTTGAATATAGAAATCTATCTTACCCAACAAGGAAGTAGGAAGGTAGGAGATTAAGTAAAGGGGGTGGGGTGAGGACCAACAGAAGGGAGGGAAGATCAGGGGAGGTGGCAGACAGAAGGAAAACACCTGTCAGGTAGGAAAGGGTGAAAGGAAAGACAGGACAAATAGGAGGAAGAATAGGATTGAGGGGAAGTACATAGGTAGTAAACATACGTATGAATGTGAATGGAATGAATTCTCTCATAAAAGAGAAGCAGTAGATTGGATCAAAAACCAGAATCCTGTAATATGTTACTTACAAGAAACACACTTGAAGCAGAGAGACACATACAGAGTAAAGGTAAGAGCAGAATCTGTTGTGCTTCAGCTGAAGTAAAAAAGCCTAGGTAGCAATCTTGATCTTAGACAAAGTAAAAACAAAAATAGATCTAATTAAAAGAGACAAGGAAGGAAACTATATCCTGCTGAAAGGTACCATAGACAATGAAGCAATTAAATCAGAAGAGCAAGGAATAATCTACTGGTCAGATCTATGGGGAGGGAAAAAATTCAAGACCAAACAAGAGATAGAGAACATTATAAAATGTAGCATAGATAATTTTAACCATATTAAATTGTGAAGCTTTTGTTCAAAGAAAATCAATGCAACCAAGATTAGAAGGAAAGAAGAAAGCTGGAAAACAATCTTTATGGCAAGTGTCTCTGATAAAGGCCTCATTTCTTAAATATATAGAAAACTGAGTCAAATTTATGAGAATACAGGTCATTCTCGAATTGATAAATGGTCAATGATATGAATAGTCAATTTTCAATGAAGAAATCAAAGATACCTATAGACATAAGTGCTCTAAATCACTTTTGAGTAGAGAAATGCAAATTAAGACAACTCTGAAATACCACTTCCTGCCAATCAGATTGGCTAATATGATAAAAAAGGAAAAGGATAAATGTTGGAGAGGATGTGGGAAAATTAGGACACTAATGCACTGTTAGTGGAGTGGAGAGCAATTTGGAACTATGCCCAAAAGGTAACCAAACTGTGCATAAACTTTGATCTGGCAATACCACTACCAAGACTGTATCTTAAAGAGATCACAAAAAAAAAATAAGAAAGGACCGACATGTGCAAAAATATTTATTGCAGCTCTTTTTGTGGTGACAAAATATTGGCAATTAAAGAAATGCCCATCAGTTGGGGAATGGCTGAACCAAGCTGGGGTTATATGAATGTAATGTAATACTATTGTGCAATATGAAATGATGAACAGGCACATTTCAGAAAAACGTGGAAAGACTTATACAATCTGATGCAAAGTGAAGTGAGCAGAACCAGGAACACATTGTACATAGTATCAGCAACCCTGTAAGATGATCAACTATGAACGAGTCAGCTTTTCTCAGCAACACAATGATCCAAGACAAGTACAAAGGGAACTGCTATACAAATCCAGATAAAGAACATATGGATTCTGAATGCAGATGGAAGGACATTGTTTTCACTTACTTTATTCTTTCTCGTGTTTTTTTTATTTTGATTTGTTTCTTCACCCACAACTGTGACAAATATCAAAATATGTTTTACATGATAGCATACTTATAAATGATATCAAACTGCCTACCATTTTCAGAAGAGGAGAGAGGAGGGAGTAAAAAAAATTTTAAACTCAAAATCTTATAAAAATGAATGCTAAAATTTTTATTGATATGTAATTGTGGGAAAAAATAAAATACTATTCCAAGAGAAAAAAATCAGAGGTAACTAAGTGATCAATTTTCATCTTTCTGTTATGAATAGACGCCCTTCTAACTTATGTTATGGAATAGACAGTCATGGGTTTCAAAATATTCCAAAGCTGTATGACTACATATGTATGATTTGTATCAAATTGCTTGCTTTCTCAAGGGGGGGAGGGGTGGGAGAGAATTTCAAAGTTAAAAAGAGTGTAAAAAAATTTACATATAATTGAGGAAAAAATTAAAATAAGAAAAAAAAAGATTCCATAAAAAATAAAAGCATCTCTTCTTTAGGAAAATGATAAAATCTGAATAAAATCATGTGAAAGTTTTTACCCTATGTATTTTTAAAATGTGATAATCACTATTCCTACCTGAGATATTTGCCTAACCTTTTGGGTTATTTTGTTCTAACCCAAATGACTAAAGTTCTTTATGTTTATTGATGTCTATACTACTGGCAATTTTTGTATGAAAACATCAGAATTGTAGTGTGAAGAATATTGCTGTTTACATTCCAATAGCGGTATGAAAATTAAAGTGAGCCCTGCACTGAAACACTCTAATGCTG